TTCCTCAGTTCCACCCGTTCAGATCGTTACAGCTAAATTTCTTTTTACTTTATCGCTGTTTTCATGGCCTATACGAACTACATTCCTCAGTTCCACCAGTTCAGACTTTTACAGCTAAGTCCCTTTTTCTTCTACCACTATTTTCATGGCAGATTTTCAGACGAGCTATATTCTTCAGTTCTACTAATTCAGACCATTACAGCTAATCTTCTTTCTATGCTGTCGCCATTTTTATTCCAGAAGTTCAAACTATCTTCATTCCTTAGTTGCACCAATTAAGATCAATACAGACTCTTTCTATTATTTCGCTCTTCTCATTGCAGATATTTAGACGTGACCCATGCTTAGTTCCACCATTTCAGACCGTTACCGCTAAGTCCCTTTCTTCTCTGTTGCTATTTTCAGGGCAGACGTCCAGACGAGCTACATTCCTTAGTTCCACAAGTTCAGACAGAGCTATGTCTTTTTCTACTCTATTTTCAGGGCAGACGAGCTGCATTCATTAGTTCCACCAGTTCAGACGTTCATTACTGCCCGCCCCCCTCATGCCATGTGCACTCATCTTCCTTGCCGTCATATTCCATTGTTAGGTTCACTCAGACAGCTTCTTCGCCAGAACCGTGACTTTGTGAAAGAGGCACCCGAAAGCATACATCACAGATCGTTACAATGTTAATTTCAAGTCTAGAGTCAACCGTTATCTATCCAACATATACCCATAATCTGCACTTCTTACTTCCTCTTCTTGCGTTCTTACAAAAACTATGTTCAGTAACCCTCTATTTTGAATTTTGAATGCCTCTTGGGCCTTGTATTGTCGTCGATATTAGTATCAAAAGAAATACAGCATACCTACAGACGATAATGGGTATGACCCAATTCCCATAAATACAGTAGTAAATACTGTATGTTGTTCTGCAGTTGAAGATTCGTCTCCAGCTGTGCTGGTCAAACTCTGCCTGCGGGCAGAGAGGATCCCCAGACGAGGCTATGTCGAAGGGCAGAGTCTCGTCTCGGGAAACAGCTACCCAACCTAGTTTTATACGGGATGTACGGGAATTTTTGGCCAAGCCTACGCGCTCGGATACTCCACATTAAATTCGGCCTTGTCCCATATCTGACCGCGCGGTGCGGTTGGTAGATATCCTGCACTTGGAAATTCGTTGTGGATTTCACTTGACTCACTTCTAGCAGTTGACTACTTCTTCTACGCGCCGCTAGCGAATCTTATATGTGTTATTCTTGTCCTAAATATTACCATTCATTACCAACCTTCGTTTGATTATTCTATTCAGTAACTTTCCCTTATGGAATGTCAAATTGGCAGCGAAGCATGAGACTGATTTTAAAGAGAAATGTTCTAATGGCTATAAGCGGAAGTGTGTGTCCCGCCACACAAAGAAATCGAAAACGACTGCATTTTAAACGATTTTAAGAATAAAAGTAACATTCAAATCCCGCGCCATATCAATGGGTATATATATATATATATATATATATATATATATATATATATATATATATATTGTTGTGAAGGCGATCATAGTTGTCTCCTCTCGAACTCAGTCAGTTATGTGTCATGAGTGATATACGCTTAGGCGATCATGTATCTTTCGATACATGACTGACAAGGTATATTTTTGTTATAGTGGAACACACCT